TGTATGAATTCTTTGATGGGAAGTGAGATTGTGGCTATGACTGAAGCTCTTTCCACATTCCACACACTGATAGGGTTTCTCCCCAGTATGAATTCTTTGATGGGAAGTGAGAACGGTTCTCCTACTGAAGCTCTTTCCACATTCCACACACTGATAGGGTTTCTCACCTGTATGAATTCTTTGATGGGAAATGAGATTGCGGCTGTCGCTGAAGCTCTTTCCACATTCCACACACTGATAGGGTTTCTCCCCTGTATGAATCATTTGATGGCAAGTGAGATCAGAGCTATTAGTGAAGCTCTTTCCACATTCCACACACTGATAGGGTTTCTCCCCTGTATGAATTCTTTGATGGGAAGTGAGGTCAGATCTCTTTCTAAAGCTCTTTCCACATTCAACGCACTGACAGGGTTTCTTTCCAATGAGATTTCTTTGATGGGAAGTGGAATGGGAACTCTGACTGCAGCTATCTCCACACTCCAAATTTTTATGTGGTTTCTCCTTTCTGGGGATTTTGTTGTGGTCACCCTTGTTCTTGGTTTCCAATTCATCATAATCTGCAATGGAGACAAAAAGGGATTAGAGCCTCAGGAATGAATACAGAAGAACGGTATGTTGTTTGTCATTAACCAACATATTTATTATATTAGCCTCAGGAACGAATAAAGAACTGAAGGGAGTTCAGTGTGTTGAGGAGTTCACAAAATAAAGGAAGGCTTGAACTCTGATTAATAAGAATGCACACAGAGGCTTGAACCAGCAAGACTCTGGGAATGGTGCATATAATAATCTCTGTCTCCCTCCACCCCTCGACGCAGGTCGTTTTATTCACAAAAGAACTTTTACTGAGTTTTCGTAAGAACCAATCACATTTCTTCTGAGCATTTCAACAAACCCCACGTGGGGACAAAGTTAAACTACCAAAACTAATTAAGCACGCACACTTTTGGGTTAAATGAAAGAAAACCACAAATGAGTGCATTCAGCAACCCCGGAGGTCATAAACAATGAATACACATGATAAGAAGGATGGCCAGGAGGACAGCGATCATTACCACCTTTATGTGAAACCTGTTTCCTGGCCCTAAGATTAACATCCTAAGATTAACATATCAGAAAAGCTACAGCAAAGAAACTGCCCACTGTCTTTGATGACCCAGGACGCCTGCCTGTCTAAGTGTGTACGTGACTTGTGAAGAAAGAGAAATGGAACAGAGATGCAGAGGTGTGGATTGATCAAGAATCATATCAAAATAGTTTAAACCCAGTCAATGCAATGCTTTGATTGCTGACACAGATGGCTTACTCTATATTTGTTATAATTCCTCATAGCAATCCCACCTGATCACTACAGTGTGTGTTTATTACCTCTGTTGTTTGTCATTAACCAACATATCTATTATTAGATTCTGGTGAGTTGTTGAATGTTGCTTTGTTTGATATACAAAATTGTGGAAGCCTTTTGGGAAAAAGTGTATTTCAGAGCTTTAATGGCTTACAACACCACTTCTTTTGGAGTAATATCATAAAATCATTTATCAATGAAAAGATAATTTGAGCAAGAACATAATGCAACAAAGTTCAATTAGCTGTATTCTATCAAAAATTGTAGCCAAATAACCAGAAATAGGAAGCAGAAGCACTACATGCTTAGGTTGACTTTTGTCAGTGTCTTATGTGATTGCTATCAAGTTGACTGGTTTTTCCGTGTTCTTTAATTTAGTGAGTTTGCAGAACATAATAAAATTAAAGAAATGGCACAAAGAGTTGACTGGTTACCCAGAAAGAGATGTAAAATAGTACTATTAAGTGAACAAGGCTACAGTTATGAAGAAATTAGAAGAAAGATTGGGGAAAACTTAACCAAAGCTGGCATTTCTATATTTTTGAAGAGGTATAAGGAGACTCAGTCACTCCAAAATCAGACTGGTAAAGGCAGGAAAAGGTGCACAACAGCAAGTGATGATCGAAGAATGGAGAGACTGTGCCCACATGACAGAAGAAAATCATCTGGGTGTATACAGGATGACATGGCGCAATGTAATGTGAAGTTGATTGCAAGGACTGGTCTAAATGCTAGAATTCTAAAGAAAAAGCCATTGTTCTCTCTCAAGCAAAGGTTGAAAAGATTAAACCCATGTTAACTGGACAGCAGAACAATGGAACAATGTTATTTGGAGCGATGAGACCCAAATCTCCTTGCTTGGTAGTGATGGCATGAAATACGGGAGTAGAAGAATCAAAGAAGATTTACATCCTACATGCATTACACCGACTGTGAAACACCCAGTTAGTGTTATGAAATTGTGTCATTAATGGGTGTCACGGCTATAATTTGGCCGCTGTTTCTTTAATGCTAAAAGAACTAAGTCAGCATGAGTCAGCGGCCTACAATGACTCATGCAACCTTTCTCCTAATTGTACCTGTATATATAGAGTGGTCAATGTTAGTGTTGGATGTGGGTTGGTTAGTGAAATCTGGTAGTGTTGATGTGTGTACAGTTGGTCGGCTGTTTTGCAGATAAAGACTTTTAAGAATAAAAGCAGAAAATACTCTGCAAGGGCACTCTTCTTGTGGACTCCTTTATGCCGACAAAGGTCTGAGGACCAGGCTGAGGAGACAAAGGAAGTCAGGTCCTTTGCATTTTCATACACTGACAATGGAAATGTAAACTTCCCAAAATACATAAATGAAATACTTGAGCCCAAACTGAAGCGTTCTGCATGTGATCTTTCCCCATATACTGAAGCATTTACATATGTTTGTATAAATATTTGTTTATTTAATTATTTTATATTTCAACAGAATTCAGCTCCGTGTCATGTTGCTGCTGTGTGCAAAAGGTCGTTTGAAGATAATAATATTCCACTGCTGGAATGGCCTGGGAATAGCCCAGACCTTAACCCAAGTGAAAGTCTGTGGAAACTTCTTAGTCAAAAGCAACCCAGCAATAAAGCCTAATTAATAGAGGCAATAATTCAGTCTTGGTGTCACATTATTACAACTGCAGAACTAAAAACCGTGGTTCGCTCCATGTTAAGGCCGTAATTAAAGCTAAAGGTTACCAATGGTTACCAAAGGTTTCACATTTTTTCTTTATGACTGCTGTTCTAATAAATACTCCCTCATAAAATTTCTTGCATTACATTCTTCATTAAATTATCTTTCCATTGCTATATAATTTTATGGTATTATTCCCCAAAAAGTGGTGTTATGAGCCATCAAATCTCAGAAATACACTTTTCATAAAAGGTATCCACAATTTTGGCCACTAGTATAAGTTGATCATTTTAAAGTTAATGTACTTTTTATATGCGATCAGATTGTTATTATTTATGTATCATGTTTATATGTGTGTTGGAAGCAGCCCAGAGTGGCTGGAGCAACCCAGCCAGATGGGCAGGGTATAAATATTATTATTATTATTATTATTATTATTATTATTATTATTATTATTATCACTGCTACTACTACCTGAGATTCAATAAACCTGGCTCTTCTCTGGGACGGATTTTGTTTGGCCCAGTCATGGCATCCTCTCCATCTCCAATTCCAGTCCTCCCTCTGGTCAACCCAAGACTGACAGCAGCAAAAACAAAAACAGAAAACCTGACAGAAACTACTTATCATTCCTATCAACTCTGAAGCTGAAATTCAGCAGTTCAGACCAGCCCAACTATGGTAGAACTGGAGGAAGATTGTTCAAAGAAAAAACTGCAATTTGCTGTTCAAGGTTTCTTGGGGGGGGTGTAAGGTTCCCAGGAGTTATAGGAGGCGCCGTTGAGCTCTGTGAAAATATATGAGGTTTGTCACATAGAGGTATTTTTTGAATTTCCTGGCAGATAGGACGATCCCACAGGGAGCCTTACCAAGAGAGGCCACGATCCCACGATTCTCCTCCATGACGTCCTTATGCAGAGCTCTCTGGTCAGGATCCAGCAACGCCCACTCCTCGTCCGTGAAACGAACAGCGACATCTTCAAAGCACACTGGACCCTAAAAGAAAAAGGGAAATGTCCTCCTCTGAGACAGCAGAAATATAATCTACTCCACAATGCTCTGTTATTTCCTTCCTGTTAATTGCTGCGTTATTTCAGTAGGATCGCTTTGCTGCACATTTTAATTATGGGTAGCTATTTTAACGCTTTAATTGAATTCTTTTATTCTGCATTTTAACTAAGTACTCCAGCTTATGTTTACGTTATTCTGCCTACGCAAGCATTCCAGTTTCCCCGATGGAAGGATCCACTTTCTCCTCTCCTCATGATTTGTTCTGGGGAGGTTCCCTCCCAATGCTCTAGAGCCAAATTCAAGGGGTTCATGGGGGCATGGAGAGGGGGAGGAATGGGGGGCAGGCCCCATGTTGCAGCGGATTGGGCTGGCTAGGTGAATCCTGGAAATTATTTGTTATCGTCTGTCCGCTACTTAGAAGCCTATTTTAGCATTCATTGATGAATATAGAAATACAAGAAGCCTAGTTTGAATGGCCATCTGTCTTGGATTATCTAGCTGAGACTCCTGCAATGCAGGGGGTTGGACTTGATGACCCTTGGGGTCCCTTTCAACTCTAGGATTCCATGAAAACTGAAACTACAGATGAATCCTACTGGCAACATTCAGAAGGCTGGAGTCACAGAGTTATCTGGGCAGGAAATCCCACAGTTCACAGCTGGAGTTAACTCTTTATCAGCAAGAGCACGATGTTCACAGACTTGGCTGAGTTTCGGGCCTCTTGAGAACAGCAGCTCATTCTGTGAGCCTCTTCCTCCACAAAAACAGTTGCAATGAGTGAAGGCCCCTGGCTCCCCACAGCTTTCCAAGTCCCCTCCTCTCTGGGGTTTCAGGCAAGCAATCTAACAGTGCGCCAGTGTGCAGCCTGCATTTGCTCCTCCATTGTTAGACCTCTCTTGGCTCTGAGAGACAAGCAGGGAGGATGGCTTCTGGCAAAAGGAGAGGGAGCCACCGGTGGCTCCTCCTTATCCTGACTCACCTCTGACTCTCAACCATCCTCCTCCCACTCGCCTCCTTCCTCTTCTGCCTCTGATTCTGCACTGCATTCTGCCACAGAGTCTCCCAGCTCACTAAGCCCTGTTACGCCTTCAGCTTCTGACACCTCCTCTTCCCAGGCTTCTCCCTCTTCTTCCTCTGACCACCCATCCTTCCTCCACCTCCACTCCTTGGGCTCTGAGCCATCTTCCCTTCCTGGTTCCCTGGCTGCTTCCTCCCACCATTCCTCTGTGCCCAACCAGTCCATGACATTGCTCCATCCCTCAGCCTCTGTCCCCACAAGGCAGCTTCTCCTGACCTGATCTGGTTCCAGAGCAGCTGCTTCCCTTCTGCCCCCATGAAAAGATGGATAAGGAGGTCTTGCTGCCATCATTCTGTCACCTGCAAGAGAAAAAGCGTAAGCAAGACGCCAGGAGTGCCTGCATCTCTCACAGGGGAAACAGGGCATCTCTAACTACAAATGGGCCATTGAGAAAGCCATACTTGTTGAGTGCATTTGGATGTTTGTGCCCATTTCATATGTTAGATATGCAAAAATACATCTCCCTTCCTCTGGACCCTTGGTCCCAACAGTCCCCCCGCCCCACCCCAAAAATGAAAAGAACCCACAGATTAGTTGGAAACCAACAGAATGAGACCAAACGGAGAAAATCCACTTTCCTCCTTACCCAGTGGCTTCTCACTGGTGTCCAACGGAGGCCTCTCTACCTCACAGAAATCCAGGTCCTTTTCTGCAAAGAGATCCTTTCCCTGAAAAAGAAACAAGGATTCAAAACAGAGAATGGGGAGAAATACTAGAAAGAGAATGACAAAGACTTGAAGGGTGCTAGATCTCATTCCATGGATGCTTTCCCAGAAAAAGGATGGGCCAACAGCAGACCATTATGGGATGTTCTCTGTCCTGTTTGGAGCCCCTTGGGAGTAGCCAGAGGAAAGTCTCTCTCACCTGCTTTCTCTCCTCTGCCTGACTCAGGAGGAAACCTTCGGCCAGGGCCACCGCCTGGGAACTGGTCTCCGCTCCACAGTCCCTCACCCAGCTCTCCATCTCCGGTGGAAGGACAGCCAGGAACTGCTCCAAGATCACCAGGTCCAGCATCTCAGCTTTCGTGTGCCTTTCTGGCTTCAACCACTGATGGTCAAGGTGATAGAGTCGGCTGCAAACCTCTCGGGGTCCTTCGGTCTCCGGGCAGCAGAACTGCTTCACCTGCTGGCTCTGCACCTCTGAGCGGAGGGTGTCCTCCTCACCCAGGATCTTCTGCACAGAGTTTTCCCAGAATCCCCCACTGCTCCCAGTTTGGTTGGCATGGCCTCTTCCTGTTCCAGGGGCAGCTGAGTCTTGCTCATCCATCTGTGCTCTCAGGAAGTCTCTAAGAGATTGGAAGGAACCCTTTGGCCTTCTGCCAAGTTCTGTCTGTCTTAATGAGAAGCTGTAGCAAATCCTACAAAGCAAATACAATGTTTTTTTACAGAATTTGTAGGTCGGTAGAAAAAAAAGGTCTCTAGCTCTCCAAGAAGGAAGATTGCAATGCTAAATGTGGAGGCAACTGAAGAGATTTCTACGAGATGAATCAGCCTGGTTGCTCCTGCCTTCCAGTCAATGCAAGAAGTCAGAACCGACTGACATGGAAGTCATTTGTATCTTTTGAATAATGGATGCTTGGCTCTAGTGGGGGTCCTCACCTGGGGGTCCTCAGGAGTTGCTCCCCCCCTCCACTCCCCTGCTTTTGTCTCCTTTTTTGCACTTGGACTCTCTGCTGCTCTCCAGAAAGACTCCTGGGGTGGGGTCCCTTTTTCTTTGCTCTGAGGGACAACCTGCTGAGGGCCAAGTGAGTTGTGCCAAAGACATCTCCTTTGAAATTTAGGTGGGTAATTTAGTATTAGTATTTTAATAGATAGCTTAACTCCCCGTGAATTTTTTTTTGGGGGGGGGGCTAGTCCATCTCGTCCAGCTTTGGAAAACCATTTGCACATGTTACCTCTGTTGTGTAATGAGGCTGAGTGATGTCACAGAGAGTTAAAGTCCCAGGGACTCTTTTCTTTAAGGAAGGGAGATCTTTTCTTAAAGGGGGGGGCGGAGGGTCAAATGAGATTGGGATCCTCTGATCTGCAGGAAGGAGAGCGTGGCAGACCTGGCCCCTCCCTGGCAGGACCCTCTCCTCCCTGACTTGGGGTCCCCCCCTGCAGGAGCAGATCAGGCCCCCCAGGCCCCCTCCCCTGCTGCAGCCCTGGGACCCCCACCAGATCCCAGAGAGAGAGGAGACTCACCAGATCCCAGGAGGGGACAGCGAGGCAGCCCTTGCAGGAGAGACACCAAAGCAGGAAAGGACTGGGGAGGGAGGGGCCTTGGCTCTGGAGGACCTGGCCCCCCCTTGCTTCCTGTCCTCTCTAGGAAGGCAGCTCACTTCCCTTTAACCCTTGCAAAGCCAAGTCCCCCCAGCTCAGCCCTCTCCCGCTTGGCAGAACCTCAGCTTTTTATTATTTTTAATGGATATGGGGGGGCAGGTGCCCCCCTGGCTACGCCAAGGGCCAGATACCCTTTTGGGGTGAGGCTCTTGGTTGGACTCTGAGCATCTCGCTCCCTTCATCAAGAGATCTCAGAGACATTTAAAACACAGAACACATGAGACGCAGACTGATGATCCACGTGTTACAGACCAAAGGTCTGTACCCCTGCCCAAATGGGTGGGATAAGCCACCCACCCTTCCCCCTCCCGGTCAATAGCCAATCACGTAGCATTTTCCCTCGGCCCGCATTAATTTAATCCAGGTCTCTCTCCTGGTTAGCCAACTCCGTATCAGATTGGCAGCCCAGCTGGGTTAGCCTCACTCGACCTGAAGGAAAGAAAGAGCGCCGCTTTTGCAGGTAGCGCCCGCACACACACACAAGAGAGAGGTGCGCGCGCGCCTTTGGAACGAAGCTGACGCACTTCTCGCCCAGCGCCCCCTCAGCGACCACTCCGGTGGTCGGAGGCGCCTATTCTCCTGCCACCTCCCCCCCCCACTTGGCTGCGCGTGTGCGCCTGCTATTGTCCACGCCTGCCGTGCTCCTAACTCCAAACGCCCCACTGTTCGCCGCTGGCTCAGCTCATTGGGCCGCGGGAGTTGGTGCTGCGCCCCCGGGCTTCCGGCTTCTGGCTGCTTTCCACAAGCCTTCGGAGCCCGGCGGGAACTCCAGCGGGCTTCTCAGGCTTGTGGATAGCTTCCTGAAGCCTGGAGAGCGAGAGGAGTCGGTGCGTACCGGCCTTCTTGCTCTCCAGGCTTCAGCGAAAGCCTGCATTCGCTCCATAGGACGCATACACATTTCCCCTTCATTTTCGGAGGGGGAAAAGTGCATCCTATAGAGCGAAAAATACGGCATGTGTAACAGAGACTTGGTTGGATGAAGCAGATGGGCCTGTTCTTGCCACTGTTTGTCCACCAGGTTTCTCTTATGCACAGCAAACCAGGTCATGTGGGCAGGGAGGGAGGGTTGCAGTGATTTTTAGGAAGTCATTAGTTTGTACCAGGTGTCTTATTGGGAAGACACAGTTCTCTGAGTGCATGTTCTGGAAGTTGGGCAATAGGGGCAGTACAGGATTTCTTTTGGGGTACCAACCTCCCCGCTACACCAAGGATTCCCTGCTGCTTCAGGTTGTGGTGGATGTTCTCCTGGAGACACCTAGATTAGTTGTCCTAGGGTATTTTAACATCCATGCTGACATGACCTTACAAGGGGCCACTTAGGACTTCATGGAAAGCATGGCCTCCATGGGGCTGTCCCTGAATAAGTTTGGCCCAACTCATAGTCACAGACATGCCTTAGACCTGGGGTTCACCTCTATGGATGTGGGTGATCTGACACTAAGTAAAAGCGAAACTAAAGAAGTGCCATGGTCAGATCACTTCCTGGTGCAAGTGGACTTCTCTGTGATGCTTCCCCTCTGCAGGAAGGTGGGACGAATTCAGAAGGCCCATCCCCGCCACTTAATGGATCCAAATGGTTTCCAGAGAGTGTTTGGGGATGTTTTATTCCATGTTGATGGCCTTTCAGCTGATTCCCTGATGTCCCGCTGGAATGTAGAGTTAACTAGGGGTATTGACTGGCTTTAAAGCGCCCTCTCCAATTGCATGGAGCCCGGACAGCCCCATGATTTTCCCCAGGGCTGAGGGCAATGAAGCTGCTGGGAAAGATCATCAGGGGGTTTGGGCTGGGTGTTCTTCAGTATGCGGATGATACCCAGCTCTACCTCTCCTTAAAATCAGAACCAGTGAAGGTGGTGAAGGGCCTGCGTGAGTGTCTGGAGGCGGTTCGAGGATGGATGTATCTAAAAGCCCTTCACACATGGCTATGTACAGTGGTACCTCTGGTTGCAGACGGGATCCATTCTGGAGCTCCAGTCGGATCCCGAGGTTTCTGCAACTGGAGGTGCCGCTTCTGTGCACGCACGTGGCACACTAGCACACTTCTGCACATACGCACAGCGCATAGAGTGCTCCTGCGCAAGCGCACGTGGCGAAACCCAGAAAAACACTTCCGAATTTGCTGGGTGCGTATCCCAAAGGATACGTAACTGGAGGTGACTGTAAGTAGAGGTACCACTGTATTAGGAACACAGCCATACATTCTTGTGTGTGTATGTTTCTATTTGCAAACTACCCCCGTCTCTGAGCGGTGAGACTCCAGGGATCCCTGGCCCATCTTCGGTTTCCTTGGAACGAAGGTCAGCGGAGACTGTGGTGTCTTTACGTTATATGGCCAATTCTGGATCCACATGTCCTTCCACAGTGGGGACATTGTCTGGGCAGTGTGGATTTGCCAAGTGTGCCTTCCTCTTGGCACGTTTCTCCTTTGCGTCCTGAGTTTGAGTGTCTTCAAAGCCCATGACACCTTTGGTAAAGGCTGTTCTCCAACTGGAGTGCTCACAGGCCAGTGTTTCCCAGTTGTTAGTGTTTATACTACATTTTTTTAGATTTGCCTTGAGACAGTCTTTAAACCTCTTTTGTTGACCAGCAGCATTACGCTTTCCATTTTTATGTTCGGAATAGAGTAGTTGCTTTGGAGGACGTCAGGCATCCGCACAACATGACCGGTCCAATAAAGTTGAAGTTTCACTTTCTGCCGCTCCCCATTCTCTTCTTAGGGAACGCTCAGAAGCATCGAGAAATGCTCTCCCTTTGTAGCACATAAATCAAGGGCTACATTCTCGGCAAAGGCTTGCCGCACCAAGCAGCTCTTCTCACTCTGTCGAAAAGCAGCTTTTCCCATTCCCTCTACGTAACTCAGGGACTGGGATTTTTACCCCTTTCAAAAGGTTCATTCCACAGCTTAGCTCAAGCTGGAACTACCTTTTACTTTTTATATATATATATATATAATATTTATTAGGATTTTACAATAAACATAGGTTTAAAGAATTAAGAAAATTAAGCCGAAGATTACACATAAACAGAGAAAGAGAAAAGATGACAAGAAAAATAGCAAAAAAAAAAGGACCTAAAACAGAAAAAGGAAAATACAAAATACAAAAAACAGATGGCTAAAAAAGAAAAAGAGAAAAAAAATCCATTTTTCAATATCTTTAGGCTCATTTACTTATTTCCTTGACCTCCTCACACCTCCTCTTTTTGTATTCCCGTTTACAAAATCCTTTCAGCAAATCCTTACCCTCTTTCATTTATCTTTACTCTATATCTTAACCTATTATAACTATATATTTTCATCCATATAACAATCTATATTTGCATATTCTTATTAACCTTATTACCAAAACCACTTATTTCCATTCCAACATCATTCTAACATTCATTAATTTTACAGTATTTCTGCAAATAGTCTTTAAATTTCTTCCAATCTTCTT